TTTTTTAGAGCTTTCAGTAATTGTAAGTAGCCTGCTGTGGCATGCTTGCCACTGGTCAACCACCACTGCCCTAATTCTATTTCTTGTGCAGCCCACCCCCAAACCCCCAAACTAAACAGCCATGAATGAAGAGCCTGGATAGGACTTAGGTGCACAACATACTGAATAAGAACTGCCCTTTGAATGGGCAGGACAGGTGTTGTCCTGGTCAGGAAGAGGGGCACAGGCCTCACAGCAGAGTTAGGAAGCGGCAGGGCTCTGTGGTCAGAGGTTAGCTCCTTTTCCTTGTGAAGCTCCCCGAAAAGCATGGACTGTGAAAATGTCAGATGGCATTCTGCTGATATTCAGGATTACCCTCTATCCAGAAGAGAGTAGATCTGCAGTAGCTGAGGCTCGCGGGGAAAAGGCATGAACCTCACTGACCTCTTGCAGAAACCCCATCCTTGGCGGTACCCTTAGAAGATCGTGTGGTGTCTGTGGGAGAAACAGTGGCACTGCAGTGCAAAGCGACTGGGAGCCCTGCACCCCGCATCACCTGGTTCAAGGGAGACCGCCTGCTGGGCCTGACTGAGCGGCACCACTTCACACCTGGCAACCAGCTGCTCGTCGTTCAGAACGTGGTGGCGGAAGATGCGGGGCGCTACACGTGCGAGATGTCCAACGCCCTGGGCACGGAGCGTGCGCATAGCCAGCTGAGCATCTTGCCTGCTCCAGGATGCAGGAAGGACGGGACCACCGTGGGCATCTTCACCATCGCAGTGGTGTGCAGCATCGTCCTGACATCTCTTGTCTGGGTGTGCATCATCTACCAGACCAGGAGGAAGAGTGAGGAGTACAGTGTCACCAACACAGGTCAGGCCCCCTATGCCAAAGCACACTTTCAGGGGAGGCAGAGTAGCAGTGACAGCAAGGCCAGGGCCAGAAGTTGGTCAAGAACTTGAGCATACTTACAACTCCAGGCCCTTTGAGAAGATAGTGTTCTGAATAGCTGAGGCTTTAAGCCACTGACACCATGTTAACTGTAGCATGTATATGAGATGAAAATACTGTTGAATACATGTGCCTGGGAGATGAGCTCTGGTAACTGTCAGGTCGTGTTGGTCCTCCAACCTCATGGTGGTGTGCTGTGGGTCCATCCTTGGTGGGAGGAGATGGCAGTTCTTACCTGCACTGACCACACAGCAGGATGGCTCCTGAGCTGTCTTGTGTTTGGGACTGAGTGACTGCATTTCTGAGTGTGCTGTCACTGTGGCTTAAGTGTTTCATTGTCTTTTCTCCTTGCAGATGAAACCATTGTGCCACCAGATGTTCCAAGCTACCTCTCTTCTCAGGGGACTCTTTCTGACCGGCAGGAGACTGTGGTCAGGACAGAGGGTGGCCATCAGGCCAACAGACACATCGAAAGCAATGGTAAGGCCTCAAAAACAGTGAGGCAGAGGCCTGAGGTGACTGTGGTCCTGGCTCAGGTTCTGGGACTTGCCCTCAGGCCATTAGAGGGAGCAGGCTGGTAAGCTGGGAGGCTGCACAGCAAATGGCTTGTCTGGGTCGATATCTGGGTTTACTACTATCAATGGCAGAATAAGGTGTGATTCATATGAATAGTCATCAGGATGTTCAGGTCTTGAAACCAACACTGCTTGTGCAGTCACCCTCCATATGCACGGATTCAACCAAGCGCACAGTGAAACACCTGGGGGGAAACGTTTGTACTTAGCATTGCTCAGAGAATGACCAGAAAGCAGTCTGTGTAATACCTGTTTACAGAGCACCACATTGCAGGAGGCATCACGAGTAATCCTGAGATGACTTACATGCCTGGCATAAGTAGTGTGTTTTTTTATGTAAGACACTTGTGCATCTCTGGCTTTTGCTGGGGCCCTGGGACCAACGCCTTGTGGATACCAAGGGATGATAACAGAAGGGAAAACGCAGGTCTGCCCTCTGTTCTAGTCTCATAGAAAGTTCTGCAAAGGGGTGCAACTTCAGATAGTGGGAAATTCTGAGCACTTGTCTGGGGCCGCAAGGGTTTATCCGATGGAGAACTTCCTTCACATGGTTCCAGATGCTGAAAGGCCTGCCTGTTAGGAGGGTAGAATTAAGAAACATGTTCTTTGCTGGACCTCTGGAGGGATATCATTGACCACTCAAAAGCAGATTCTTTATAAAAAAGGCTGCTTCAGTATCCTTGCCCATTGATTCCCTCTAATGCTTACCGAGAAGTGCCAAGCAGTGTTTCTGACTGGGAGAATCCATTGCAGGTGTTTGCCTGAGAGACACCAGCCTCTTTCCAGAGGTCAATGTTCATGCCATCACGTGCAGGCAGCCCAAGCTCTGTGTGGGATACATTAAAGAGCCCTGGAAGGTGACGGAGAAAGCCAGTGGGACACCTGGTCCACCTAAGATGGGTAGGAAAAAGTAGTTTCCTTTTAAATTCAAATTTTGCTTGACACACTCAGTATATGAAAAGGAGTGACACGCTACTGGCCTACTACTGCGTCTGCATTTGGTATTCAGTATATAAAGAAGCTCTAGCTTGCCTCCTTTTTAATTCTATAATACTGTATTTCATATATAAATCTATAGGGTACTAAGCTTGAGCATGGATTTTCTAAAATTATATAAGCAATATAATAGGGGCAAGACTAAAAAATGCAGAGTTTAAACGCTTTTTCACCAGGGATATTTTGAGACTTCCTCACTGTTCAGAAAACTCTTGGTCTCATTTGAATTAGGTACTATGGGTTCTTTCACCTATGACCACTTTCTGTATGTATAGTTTAAACATTCTGGAATGTTTAATTCTCTAGCAGACTGGGATATGCCCAAGCCCTTCTCTGTGAGCACACTTTAGGGAGGGAGCGTGTATACACAAGATGTGTATCTCGGTGACCTAAATAAACATCACGCTCACCTTTTCATGGCTATAGTTGGGAAGCAGCCTGTGCCTTGTGTGGAGCTGGGGACTTGTGATGATGGTTGTGTCTTTGCTCTGTCCTCCAGAACACAGTGGCCCTGTTGCATGTAGTGACTGCAGCGCTGACATGGACAGTTACTCCAAGGCACAACAGGCCTTCTCTCCTCTACTTGTGGCCAAAGACAATGCACAGCCAAGTACAGGGGGTAGCCACGAGCCCAGTCAAAGTCAGCAAGAAACTTCTTCACAGCACCCTCAAAATGGGACTGTTGAGGTGTCCTGTGTTGACTGCAAGGGCTCCCTCTACCCCAGTAACCATGAAAGAGTGCTACCATCCTTGAAGAGAAAGCCAGTGGCATCTCTAGATGGAAAAGGTAACTTCTGTCTTCTGAGGCGTCTCTAGCAGGTAGGTTAGAGCCACGGTAGTGGGCAGCCTGGGGGGTCTGATGTTCCCTGTCCTTTTTCCTAGGGGATTCATCTTGGACTTTAACACGACTGTATGAATCAGACTCCACAGACCAACAGCCGCCTCCATCCACATTAACTTCAGGCAGCCCAGAACTCCCAGAAGCCCAGCACTTGCTTGTTTCCAATGGTCACCTCCCCACAGCACGTGACTCTGGTCCTGAATCCACACCGCTGACGGGACAGCTCCCCAGGAAGTGGCGGGGACCACTGCTGTTGGCACCAAAAAGCTAGGTTTTGTCTACCTCAGCTCTTGTCGTACAATGTCTGCAGGAAAGAGAGGTAGGAGAGGCTATGTGGAAGCTAGGCTCGAGCCATCACTGACCTGTACATAGTCTTAACTCCATGCGGAATAACAGTCACAGGACTTGCATCTGAAGCACAGAAATGCAAGAGGCTATTTGTGTACAAAAGGCAGAAAAAGTATTTGATACCATTGTACATAAGAGTTTTCAGAGATTTCATATATATTATATATCTTTTACAGAGGCTATTTTAACCTTTTAGTGCATGGTTAACAAAAGAATTATACAATTTTGACAATATTATTTTTCATATCAGGTTGCTGTTTAATTTTGAGGGGGGTGGGGAATAGTTCTGGTGCCTTAATGCACAGCCGGAACTTAGGTGAAAACCACATTTGCTCCCCAGCACTTCTGGTAGGTTGGGAAGAATGGGAGGTCCTTGGCTTCCTGTGCCAGTCAGACTGCCCAGGTTGGTGAAGGTCACTCAGCTCCACAGAGTAGCTACTTACCATAGGTTTAAATTCATTCTAAGGGGAGAATCGTTAAGCTACCACAATTAAGCACTGCCTTTCTTCCTTCTTTAATGTTCATTTTATGATAAAAGCAAATGTGGTCTTGTGTGGATCCTCAGATTGTTATTTGAAGCTTTTTATTACGGCAAAGGCTGCTGGTGTTGGTACCTGTGGATTTTTTCAATATGATCTTTTAGTTCTGCCATTATATTACATTAGAGGATGAAAAGGGTAAGTTCTCACTTTTCAGGGCTAGCTTATTTCTACTGAAGAGCCAGAGCAGGCCTGTCCACACCTTTCCCTCGCACAGATGGATCTGGGCTTGGACTGTAAAAGATTTAGCCCCAGACCTGGGTATATTTGCACTTTTGAGACCTGTAGCTAACCATCTTGTGAGTGCCAATGTGTAATTCAGTAAAATTACCTTGAAACAAGCAAGGTCTTTAATATCTCAGAGAGCAAGTTTCTTTAGCCAGACGCTGAAGGGAGGTGTTGACAAAATGGTTATCTATGTTAAATTTTACTGTCAGAGGTCATCACTGTTCCAAAGGTAAGCACATTTAGAGTTTTGTTCTCAAGTTGACTAATGTTACTTCCATAAAATATGTGAATTTGCTGCTTCTGAGAGGCAATGTGAAAGAGGAAGTATTACTTTTATGTACAGAGTTATTTATTTATAGAAATTTTGGTACAATGTACATTTAAAAACATGTAAAATATTGAAGTGTTTAACAAGTGGCATTGAAGTGTCTTTAATAAAGGTTCATTTATAAAAGTTGCGTGTGCAGCTGGGTCATTCCTTCTGTTACAAATGCAGTCATTCTACTTTTAGCATTTTTTCCTAAAAAGGACAAAAGCGCTAGGAAGCATCACTGTGTACTAAGGCTGCAAGGCAGACACCCCTGCTGGCCGCCTGCTGTTCTCTGCACCTTCTGCACCAGACTTCGTCAGGCCCTCACGTCCCGAGTATGCCAACCGTTCCACATCTTCCATTCTGATCCAGTGTCGAGCTTGTAACTCCAGGTCATAGACTGTACTAAGACAAGCAACGCATGCATAGTGCACACCTGGCCTCCTTCAGCCCCAGGAACAGTGAAGGGGGCTCTGCTGCCTGAGGCCACTGGGCCCATTCAGTCACAGGACCTGCTACTGCTGGCTGGCTTTCATACACCACAGGGGTGGGTGGACACATCTCTGTAAAATTATGCCATCCTGTGTTTTTATAGGTGAAATAATTGAAAGCAGCAGCCTGGTTACAGAAAGAATGCTTGCTATGCACCTGCAGCTTATTCTTTTTAAGCAAAGCTGAAACCTTACACAATAGGAATTTATCCTGAGGAGAAGTGCCCACATGCAGCATTTTGCTTAAGTCCTCTCCTCCTGGCCTTGCTTTAAAATTGGAACCATCCTGCCTTCTGCTGCATCCACCATCAGGAGGCAAGAAAGTGAAGAGCAGACTAATGAAAGCCCTGAAGGGCTGGGCCTCAGCACCACCAGACTTATTTACTGAGAGATTCAGAGAAGACTGCTCAGACCTCATTCTAGCCTCAGCAGGTGACGACCTGCTCCAGGCAGCCTATGGCTGCAGTGGTCTGCAGCCCAGGTTATCACGCCCAGAGGACTGGGTGGCCGCGCTGGGACGCAGTGTTCTTGCCATGGTCTGGTTCCTCTGGGAAGCACGCCCATGGCCTGGGCCTCACCGGCTCTTCCTGTGCACTCTGGATAGCATGCTGTGGGCTTGCTCATAAGCACCCAGAAAGATGAAGCCTCCCAGGCTGATGGATGCTGCTCGTGGGAGGACACCTGCAAATAACCTGTGGGAAGAAGAGGGATTTTTAATGATGTGTGAAAATGTCCCTAATCAAAGGAGTCGAAGTACTGAATCTAGGAAGGCTGGAGGGTCTGAGTCAGTCCAGGACAGACAAGCAGACTTGTGAATAACTGAGCTCCTACTGGAGTCTCAGTGCCATTTAGTCCTCAAAGCCCCAGAATTAGGTTTCCATGCATCTGTTTTCTTTTTCAGTTTAAATGAGGACTGAGCAAGTGGGCACAGAGTGGCTGCACAGCCGGACAGCAGCACCGGGTGTCACAGCCCTCTCCTTGCTGCCTGTGCCCACAAATGCTCACTGTGATACTGCTGAGGGAAGAGGAGCTATAGGTCACCCCACTTCCTGTCTTGGCCCAGAGCAAAACTCACTGAAAGAGTGGCAGCAGCAGGGCACTGACAACAAAACTCACAGCACAGGCTTAGAAGCCAGTCTACGCGAAGGCATACTCGGGGACTGAGCGTGTGTCCCTAGCTTGTACACCTGCTTTCTGTGGCAGCTAGGAGACTGTCTTATCCACATTTTCATCATGTCTGAACACCTCTCCAGAAGGGTACTCTAAGTAACTTCAGGAAACCATGCTCAGAGGCACAGTTAGTAAACAGACTAATGAAAACGCTACGTGCAGGCCAGAGTCACAGCAGAAACTGACAAGGCTGTGGATGCCAGGAGGAGCTGTGCATGCTGAGACAGGAGAAGCCCCGCCTGACGAGCTGGGGCAGCCAAGCGGGAAGCAGATAGGAAGGAAGGCCCTGTGGCCCTCCCAGCCCCCGCTGCCCCTGCAGCGTGCGGCACATAGCGCACCTTAGAGAAACTGGTTACTGCATTAGTACGTGGGGCTTTTGGGGCTAGCTAACTCCAAATTTTAATCATTAAGGAGAATACCTCATTAAAATTAAAAACCTTTCTTACCTGAAAATTCTAAAGACTAAAATACACATTCAAGGAAAATGTTCAGCCTCAGCATGGTGTTCATGGTGCTGCTTGAAGTGGCTGGTGAGAGCAAAACCTTGTAAATTACTGCTGATCTTCCTAGCCCTGTCTTACAAAGGAAAGGTGCTAAAAGGAGGTTGGCAGAAACTGCGGTGTGGAAGACCACGCTGGCCACAAACTGTTACTATATCTTATTTCAAAAAGCCAGTCTTACTCAATTCTTGCCACTAACATGCTCAACTACTCATGGGTAGAGGCAGAAGCAGTTTATGGTTTCACTAGATGAAAACTGAAGCTACTGTCATAATTGCAGCCTTAAAGTAGTTTGTACAGGGAGGGCCCCCAACCAGACTTGGAGGCAGAGGCTTGCAAGGTGGGGGTGTATGCCAGTGTCCACAGATCAGACGAGACCTCAGATGTACAGCACTTCCATTGCACTGGACACAAGGCTATACTCACATCAGTCACTGTTACCCCTAAAGGGCACAAGCAAGGAAAATAAAAAGCCAGTTGATCTAGAAGCCCCAAATACACAGGTTTCCCATCTGCTCTCCTCCACTGTACGTAATGAGCATGTGGGACGTTTATGGAGCAGGGAGACCTGCCTGCCCTAAAGCATATACTCCACCAGGTGTCAGATACAGCCTTTGCCTAGTGAACGGACATGGAGACACAAGGTAGTCTCCACCTGCTTTGACCAGGAGAGGGCAGCCCCATCTGCTGGGAGAGAGTGTGGGAGTGTAGGGCCATGTGGTCCAGAGGTAGTAGGGGCTCTGTGCCTGGACATGAAACGGAGCCAGCTGAGCCACCTCTGGGGTGGAGGATGCCTAGGACCACTGCTGGGGAGAGCTGCCTGGGGCATGGAGGGGTTTTGGTTTCATTTGCCTTTTGATCCAGTCATTTGTCTATCATCATTCTAACAATGGGCTCCTAAAAGTGTCGTATCTTAAGTGAAAACCTTTCTGTCTGGAGTATGCTGCTCAGGACCACCTGTATGTACTGCTAGAGCCCAAGACTTAAGGGACTTGTCAAAGGTAAGAATAAAGCCCCATACCCATTCAGGGTGAGCCATGGAGGTAGAGGGCAGAGAGGGGCCATGGCCTCATTCTGACACCCGTTCCTCTGCCTGTAATTCTGGCAGCGCTGACTTTTATAACATCAAGTCTATGCCACAACTGAGGCAGGAGATTTTCCCTGATCTACACATGGTGATTCGTTCTCTACCAGTTTGCAGAGCCCATAGTTTTGCCCAGGGACCATGCCACCCTCAATACCACCTCAAGAAAGGCAGATGGGCTGTAGCTTGACCTCTATTCCACAGAGCCAATGTCAACAGCAGAGTTCTGGCTTGCAGTTTCTACAGACTCTTAACACGAAATACATAGAAACAGTGAAATCTGGCAGTTGCTTTTATGATCTAAAAAAACCTACATATAATCTCTTCGCATATGTGGCCCAATCCCAGAAACAGAGCAGAATCTTACCAGCTACTACACACACACTATCACAGCTCGTTTTTCCCTCATACCATTTCTTTGCGCATTGCAAATCTGGTTCCAGAGCAAACGGGCCTCTGGGATGAGAACTGAGGCTCTCATCTCAGCAGCAGATAGCATTCCTGACTGGCAGACTCAGCACAGATCCGCTCCTCTTGAACAGGGCCTCACCTCCCTGTTTTACATTCCTAGACCACCAAACATGCCCAAAGCACACAATATGCAGTCGGGTAACCCATACCAGCATGGGATTCGAGGTGACAGCACCAGCAGGTGAAGAGAGGCCAAGGCCTGTCTGCCTCACCCAGGTGCAGCTCTGGTCCTAGCCAGCTCAGCACCAGGCTCCCTGTACTGCTTTGCACTTATAGGGTCATCCCAGGTAAAAGATTCCAAAAAGTCATAATCTCCTCGTAAGATCCCAACATTTACACACTGTGGTAATTCATATTGCAAAAGCACTGTTGGAATAATATCGGAAGGGGGAACTTTTAACAGAAGAAAGCTAAAAGTTTGAGGCACTTAGCCAATAATACAGATCAATTACTCTCAACTGAGGTGTCCTGCGTGTGGTGTGTCGAAAATGTTGGCTAAAACCAGCAAACATCACCTATTCATACATCCCATAGTCTCATCATATGGCAATGTATGGCTATAGCCTATTGCTAGTAATAGGAAACAGTACCCAACAGTACCCAAGCCACAAATGCGCTCTTCTAACAAGGCACCTTTCCCTCCCTTGTATTCCTGCACTGTGAAACTGAGAACCTCTTGTGTACACTGCCCAGATGAGGGGCAAGGGCCACACATGGGAGTACCATCAAATGTGAAGATGGACAAGAATGAGAATCATCTGGCTAAAAAATTCCAAAGTACTCCAATAATTATCTCACATATTCAACATCAAATAAAACATTTCATACAATCCAAATAAAGGGACCCAAATGAGAACATGAGCAGAAAAAAGCAAAAGGTGTTCATCCTACGGTAGGCTGAGAAAGGAGGAGCTGGGGGGGGAGAAGGCAATGCAGCTGCGCACTGCTATCCTTACCCTGTTGGCCCCTGTGACCTCCAGACCCCTTGCAAAGCAGAGAGCACCTTCCCGCCTGCAGTACTGGACCCAGCCTGCAGGAGCAGACGAAGAAGAAATCCATTAGCATCTGACACTGTTCAATTTACAGAGGTCCTCGGATGCACACGCTCATCTGGGACAGCTTCAAATACTCCAGAGAACTCAGAAATCAAGATGTGTTCTCACTGGCCCAGAAATGCTTATACTCGGTGCTTATGTTCATGTAGTGGGTGGACCGTTATCATAGAGGGAAACTGCTTTTTAGAACTTACAAGGTTCCTGACACACAACTGGCAAAGCCTGACAAGCTGATCTGAGGACAGGGAGTCACCAGTGTAAGTGGTGCAATTAAAGAATGTGCCTGAGTAGTGACTAAGCATACTGAATAAACAACACCGTGTCCAATTGAGCACCTGATCCACATTCTTAGGTTTGGGCCTGTCCACCTACATACTAGGACTCTGTTCTCCTTTGCTCTACTTTCCCTTTTTTTTTTTTTTTTAGCACTTCTAAAAAACTTCTTTGGTTGAGAAACATATGTCTGTCTTTGACTCAGTCTAGCTTTTGTAAAGTTTTTTGTAGTTTTACTTTTTAACCTTTTTTTTTTCCTCCTGTATTTGGTAGAGGGTCTCACTACGCAGCTTGGATTCATAGTGATCCTCCTGTTTTCAGCTTCCCCAGCGCTGGCATTACAGGTGTGTGTCACCACACCTGAACTCGGTTGCCAGCTCAGTGTACCCAGTGGCAGGGTCGAAGAGGCTGATAGTGTCAGGGGATCAAACCCCAGTCCCTGCACTTGCCTAAGCAGGTGCTTAGTCAGCTGAGCTATCTTGCTGGCCAGTTTTAACAATTCTAAAAGACAAAGCTGGCCAGTTTAGTCTACTGAATGTCAATGTTTACCTAAAAGCTACTATAATTCAGACACTGGTACTAGAACAACAAAGGATAGATCTACCAACAGAATCTTTTTAACAAGTTTTAAACAATTACAAGTATGTCTCATTTGGTTAAGGCCAGTCATGATCTGTGTTTATAGGCTAGTGGTGATGGAGAACCTTTTAGAGCTTTCAATGATAACAGCAGGCTGTAGCATGTACGTCTTGGATTTGCCACAACTGGCCTTAGTTGCTGTGTGACACAAAGCTAATCAACCTTTCTGAGCCTGAGGTCTGCCACTGGAAAAATACAGATTTGACACTAGTATTACCAGGCAGAAGTTTAGCTCTGTTTATGTAATGCAAGTGAAAATATTTTTGAAATGGAAAAATACTACATAGATATTTGTTACACTTATTACTATAATCACTCTTCCTGTATCAGTTTTATCAATGACTCTTAGGTACTTTTATTCACTTTTATATACCTGCAAGCCCAAGCCCTAACAGAGTTTACATTACAGTATGTTGCCACTCACCTTTGCCAACATAATTCTTGTCTTCGCCACATCCAAAGGTGTAGTGATTACAGCTGCAAAGCCACCTGTACACCAAGGGAGATATTTATTGTAGTAGTAATTTTATTTTTGACTTTGTGACTCCTTGCAATTCTGCCCAAATCACTTATTACTGTATCCACCAGATTGATCCAGGAATTGGGCACACACATGTAAACCTTAATGTATATACAGTAAGTCCCCACTTACGAATGAGTTCCCTTCCAGAATTGTTCATAAACTGGATTGTTTGTAAGCCCAAATGTCAAACAACTCAAATGTTTATAAGCCGGGGATTTACTGTATCTCTTTCTGCAGTGATGTAGAATGGCATATAAAAGGAGTAAATGATAATGTTTTATTGGTTCAGGTAAAACAAGGCCTTACAATACCTCTTGCTCTTTCACGGACCAGCAAACTAATCAGATAGTGCCTGTGACGGGTGTGGCTATGGACAGAAAGGAGCAGCACACTGCTGTAGCGCTTTCAGGGGCAGTGCTTTCTATGGGCACTGCTCTTTCAACTGACCCCCAAGTGCTCCTGTCACTTCTGTTTTACAGAAACCAAACTGGACAGAGTCACTGTATCATTTGAGGACTTTAGTATAACCTGCTTGATCCTTCAAGTTAAAAGAATAATGCCTCCTGTGTTTCACAGGTTCCAGACGGCAAGCCACTCAGCAGTACATGTCAAAGCTCTCTTTAGCCTCTTCTTATACTTGCTTTCAATGGACACCATGACTCCTGCCCATCTTCCTGTCTTTTCTCCTGCATTCTCTTGATCTAAGTGTCACAGTGGCCAAACTGTTATTTAACAGGGTCCACATCTGTGGGCACAGCAACTGAAAGCTTTTTTTTTTTTTTTTTTGGTAACATGAACTACCTTTTATTGTGTCAATATTTTATTTAATACAGTACAAAGATACATTTTAAAATTCAACAGGCCCTAGGAGGGAAATGCTAAACCCTGAAGGGGAGGGATCTAGGAGCTGCAGCCGGCAACAGTTCTACATGATCTGAATAGAACGTAGGTGTGGAGGCAGCTCCAGAAATAGCGCTTATCTCCCTCTAACTGTCACGGTTAGGGACAAGAAGGCCATCTGACCTCTCCAAATAGCTTTCTAAATACATGGCTGAAATAAGATCACTACAGTGAAGCTCTTCCACATCGCACTGTTTATTGTGACACCAGCTTCTGGAAAGGGGTACCCATTTATGTGTTTATGTTTGTTTTTGGTTATCCATGAATGCCACACAGCTTGGAGCTAAAGAGTCTCAATATGAATATTAGAATCCCTATTTTTAAGTCCCTTTAGGATGATAAATGTGTGAAATACCTTCTTCAAAATTACAAGGGTTCCCTAAATTGTGATACTTGCTAAGCCTAAATTTTGTAGATCTTACTCTTAATTTTTTAAAAACACAATCTGCTCTAGAGGAGCAAATATACTTTTAATTTTAGAATAGGGTACAGGAAAGCTTCACATCCATCCGGAACTAAAAATGTAAATCCTAAGAAACAAAGAAAAGGAAATAAGGACAACAAATAAATCATCCCAAATTTCCTCACTCCAAATATTGCTAGATTGGGTTATTCCCTCTCTGGCAGCAACCTACCAGGGTTTGTCTAGAAGGAACCCTTCTGTAGTCAGGAAGAACAAGACTTCAATCCCTACTCTACCAGGTGCCCAGGACATGGGAATCACTAATTCTCTAACTGGAGTACTTATGAGAACCCTCAAGCTACAGGCAGAGGGACTGACACTTACAGAGCTGGTGTGTAGAAGGTTCTGCTGTGTTCAGAGCTGAGAGTTGCTCTTTTTAAGAATTTTTAAAAATAATTTTATTGAGAAGCAGCAAGAGACAGTTTCAAAACCGATTAGTAGGACAGTTTCAATAATTAATACATTGCATATTGTTGTCTTCTTAGTGGTTATTCATAGTAACAGATGCAGACATGATATCCTGTCCACAAACACTATTAGAACAAATCTTTCTATTCACTGAATTAAGAGAAAGTAGCTGTATATCTATCCTATTTTGAATATACAGATACAAAATGGTCCATTTGTATCCCACTGTTTTGTCAGAGAAGGGTATTCCATTGTTATTTAAATATTGTAGGTATGTGAATTCAGCAAAATATTCCAATATAGTCCAATAATCTATAATAGTAGTGGGTTTTTATTAGGACTGGCAATGTCAGAAGTTGTTGACTTGAGGCTTTTACAGCTCAGTATATTAATATGCTTTACTTTTTATACATCATTTTTATACTTTTCTGCTGGATGGTTAAGACCAAGATAAAGCGAGAGTTGCTCTTAAGAGTGCCTGAGGCCACCAGTCTGCCTGTGCTACACTATCCTAAAAGGACTCAGAGACATGGGACACAGGGACTGACTGAGTCTGCCACAGTGCCTGGAATAGAGCCTGGCTAACAGGAGTCCTCACCAAAAGTTTTTTCTGGGCAGGCAGAGATAATGGGCCATTTTTCTTCTTTTGTGTGTGTGTGGCTGGTCTGCCCAGAGCCTTTGCACTGATCTTCATCCCTGGCCTTTTTTATTTGTTGAGATTAAATCCTGAAATTGTGCAGGCCATGCCAGGACTTGCAGTCTTCCCACCTCATGTAGGCATGTAAGGCCAGCCCCACAATGATTTTTCTTATCACTAAACCAGTGCACATAGTGGACATTCAAAAGTACAGACAAACGTCTAGAGTTTTTCCAAATTAAAAGCATCAACTCCTCCTCCAAAAGGCACAGGGAAGAGAAAGGCAGACACTGGCATCTGTGTTGTGCTCTCTCTAGAAATGCACTAGACACTGTCACTGACACGCTCTCTCATTTGCCATTTGCATGGATGTTCCTGTTCCACGCAGCTAGTATGGAGCTGGGACTCTTCACATGGATCTGGACCCTGCAAGTCACTCTTTCACCGTGCTAAGGACTTTAGTGCAGCATAAGGCATAATGAAACTTGTCTCACTGCTAAAATTCATTTTCCTATTTCAAAATATTCACAAACTTTCCTAAGCCAGTTAAAAAGACCTACAAGTTGGCAGGGAACATTTCATCAATATGGATACTTATTTTGGCCACTGGCAAAGGTTTACCCTGCCTTTGCTGTGGATAACCTGCCAATATTCTCTTAGAGACTTAGGTTTCACTGAAGTAATGTAAAGAAAAGTTAAACATAGGAACACCTATGTATTGAAAGAACCTTATTTTAATAGCATGACAGAAACTGCTTTATGTCAATAATACGTCAATTTGAGGTTTTCAACTATCAGATTCCCTAACTCAGCCCTTGCAAAGTTTGAGACGACTGCAGTTAAGGAGTTGTGACAGTAACAGACTGGAGAGAGAGTGGGGGCTGGGTTTTCAGCTAAAATGTAGCTCTAGTCTATGTTTTAGTTAAGGGAGCTGCAAGTTACTGGTAAAAAATAAAAGGAACCTGCTATTGGACAAGAATGAACTATATGTACAGCAAAGGCTGCTCTCCCATCCCAGGTGAGATGCCTCACCTTCCCCTCCCGGCAGCGGTGAATGTTACAGGAAGGCTAAGCTGCCTCCTTCCAAAGGCTACATCAAGGGAAATGAGGCTTTCACAATCAAATGATCTCTCACAGCTTGTGCAGTAAATGCAATTCTGACCCTGAGACAAAGAAGCCACCTTGCTACCTTAGGTCAGGAGCTGTCACCTTAGGTGAGCAGCTGAGAATGCAGAGGGTGGCAGTGGGGAAGCCCCACACCCATCCTGGACACACTCGGGAATGAAAGGACCTCTGTGCCCCCTTCTGCAGGAGCTCCAGAATGTGCCAGAATGTCCAAATGTCCAGTGTGGTTTCCTGTGTCAGGCCTTCTCATTTGTTATCCAAAACAGTCTTACATTCTATTCTAGAATTTCAGGCCCACAGAGAGATTGAGATAGTTCTCTCTCCTACCTCTTTTCTTTTTGATAACAGAAAGTATTTACTATGAAAAATTTATCAAAAACAACAGCATATCAAATAAAAATATACAGCAAATGTTATAATTACTCAGATATCATCAAGGTTCTGTTTAGAAATTGAAGTGAAAAATATGGCAAATTCCTTTTTTTTTTTTTAATGCCATTCAACCCCTGACCAGAAACCAAGGGAACTTCTGAGTGTGACAAGCCATTAATACCTCCAATCTCAAAAGACATTTTTGGACATCTCAGCCAAGAAGTTTATAAACCAGCCTAGGCAAGGAGTGGGGCCAGCAAGGGTGTGGGAAGCAGCTCACAGCAGTGCACCAGACAGTTTGCACCTGAAGACAGCAAGGAGAAAGCCACTTTCTGGGTCAAGGACAAGCGTGGCCACCACCTGGGCTCAGATAGTGTCACTTTTACACAATATGGATTTTTTTTTTTAATATTTATTTATTTTTATTACATTTATTTATTGTGTGTGTGTGTGTGTGGCCAGCTCAGCCCACCAGGGGGCGGGGCTGGCTGGCATGTGGTGCTGGGGATCAAACCGAGGTCCCTGTGCTTTGCCAAGCTTGTTTCAAGTAGGTGCTTTAGACCACTGAGCCATCTCTCCAGCCCCACAATATGGATTTTATTGCTTAATGTGTATGTGTGTGCACACACGTGTGCATGATGCTAGGGGTTGAAACCCCGGCCTGAGCTGCATCCTCAGTCCTTTTAATATTTTATTATTTGTTTGTCTAGCTTGTGGTGCTGGGGACTGACCCCAGGGCCTTCACAGTGAGTCATATCCCCCACCCCTGATGTTTTAGTTTTTGAGACAAAGTCTTGCTCAGTTGCTAAACTGGCCTTGAACTTGTGATCCTCTTGCGTCGGCCTCCAAAGTGGTGGAATTGACAGGTGTATGCTACCCAAACCGGGCTGGGTTGCTCAGTTTCCTAGATTACAAAGTACTAACTCATATACCACCTCAATCCCTGCCTAAGTCATCTTTCAGGCAGGGATGGTTGTTTCTGCATATGTCACAGGCAAACTGATTAGCGCTCAGGAAACTTCCAATGTCTCCTTCCTGAGTTGGGCACAGACGAGACACTTGCTCACTTTAACAGGCAGAAAGATCAGCCTGGGTAGCTGTGAGGCGCAGGTGTCTTCTCCCGGACCAGCACCTCTACACTAAGCCACTGAGCCGCCTGCACTGAGAGGTCTAGGACATCACCCCACCACATAGCAAGCGTCTCACAGCGAGACTCCTTCCTCCCTCGCAACAAGTGTGAGGTGCTTAACACAGACTTCTGATCTGGGAAAAGAAAGTAAGATGAAGTGAGCAACTAAGTCCTCAGCAGCACTGCAGAAGGTTCTGCAAGCAAGCCTTGGAGCCAGCTGTTTAAGGAGTAGGACCACAAAGTATGTACTTCTTATTTCAAGGCATGAAGGTTTTAAAGCACTGCTAACCCTATAAAGTGGTGTTAGCTGGGTGTCATGGCATATGACTGTCAATCCAGGTACTTCAGAGGTCAAGGCAGCAGACCCACAAGGGAAATGTAAGGAAACCCTGTATCAATGTAAAAAATGCAGAAGGACCAGGGCTAGAAGAGCTCAGTAGTGGACAGCTTGCCTAGCAGGCATAAGGCCTGGTTTTGCATGATCTCTAGTACCGCAAAAGGGGAGGGGTGGCTTTCCTTACCAGAATGACTAAATTTCCATTACTTTGGCCCCGAGCCTGAGAGGGAGTCAGCCAAACTGCACAATTCACTTAAGGGCTGGGTAATGAGGGTTCCTGACCTTTGCAGATGGAGACCACCATTCCTTTACAGCTAATGACTTAGTGTCCTGTGGAAACAATTCCCCACCATAATCAATCTCAGCTGACGCTGACGTCACATTTAGAGACAAGAAGAATATTTCTTTTTTTTTTTCAAGAGGAATATTTCTGATGATCAATTGAACAAGTCAAACGGGTTTAATTATTAATATAGTATCCTATGAAAAGTATGTTTTTTTTCCTAATCACTGCAACCAAGAAATCCAATCCAACAACCATTAAGCAATTGGAAATAATTATTTTCCAATAAAGCTGACACTTTAAACTGACCTTCCTATCAGTTTGTCAGCTTTACACTAAGCAGTTCACAATTTTCTGGAAAATTTTGACTTCACTATGTTGCAGCTATAATTCTAATTTACTTTTATCTGTAATGATAAAATATATTTTTTCTCTTAGGCTTTTAAATCTATTGCTTATTAAACTCTTTAAAGATGTGAGTTCTCATTAAAGTCACATTGGAAAATCCGTATGACTTAGCGATGGATAACACAATACTGCATATTGTCACACTGCTCTTTAATGTCACAAAAAGTGCCCAGATGTTTGGCTGGCTGTATTTTCTACGCAGTGCTGCTTAGCCTTCAGTAAGCTATGCAGTGGCCTCTGCTCTCCTGATTCTAGTTCATCTACAGCACTGTCAAACATGTCACCGGGCAGTGAATCACGGCCTTCTGCAGAGACTGCTTCCAGCCCGAAGCGCTGCTCCAGGCCGACAGCTGCGCTGCGAGCCCTAGCCCCAGCCCCTCTCTGCCCACAGAAGACTTTATAAATCATCTGGGAGGTAATCCCAGGGCCTGAGTGAAGGCTTTAATAAAGATAAAAAGAAAAGGAAAAATTTGTCAAAAACAAATTGGCTGTCTTTCAGGCAGACACCTTTTTAGCATTTTTTTTCTAAGACACTTCTTTAAACAGCTAGTGAAGCACTCTTCATCTAAACAATCTGGAATTTCTAAAGAATGTTGTTTTTGCATAGTTAATATTTTTCACATCCACTCCCCCACCACCACCCCCAGTCCTTCCCAGTAGAATATAATCCTTTGCACCTGCGAAAGCTCCACACACTGCTGACTGCCAAGAATCCACCGCGTGATCCTGCCGCCAGGACCAGAGGGCCTGTGTGTAGGAGAAAGAAAAATACGAGTTATTAAATCTCTGAATTTATCAGAACCTCCTGTGGGTTAGCTCTGGGGATGGGAACTTAAGTGAGAAGCTATTTTGGTGGCATTTTTCACTGATGACATAAATGATTTTCCCAAGGACTTAACTGCATTCTAAAATAAGTTAAAGAAATGAGGGCAACAATACACGCAAAGGAAATAATTTTCAGGGAATATTTCATACACACAGATTAAAATAAACTTTAAGATAATGAAATACATTAATTTCCCATATAATTCTAAATATTTACAATTTATAGTCCAGAATAGTGTATGTCAAATTACTCAATTCTTTTAAAAAAACTTATCCAAACTGCATGTTTGAAAGATGCTAATTTTGTTCCCTGAGTGTTAATTTAAAATCCACCAGAACTTTTTTGTATTGTTCATCAATACATAAGCTGAGGATCACATCTACCCATGACCAACTTCAAAATGGACAAAATTATGGCAAAGAAATAGTGCCTTGCTCACCAAGGGTTTACGATTTAGTAGGAGACAGGAGAAAATGTTGCGTGATGCTGAGTCAGGCACTGATCTCACCTCTAATCATGTTTTAAAGTCACAGGCTTCCCAGGAACATGGAGCTGGCTACTGTTGCTATCCACTTTTACCTAGGCCCTTCTTTGCTTTTGTTTCTCTTTTATGTAGGCCTTCTTTCTTTTCTTTTCTTTTTTTTTTTATTTTTTTTATGAGCAGAATATATTTATTGAGAGAAAGAAAGCTCCTGTCCAAGAGAGGGACAGGAGGGGGGCCCGAGCGGGTAGTTCCCCAGGAAGCTGTCTCTTTCAGGGACTTTTATAGTGTAAAACCTTGTGGAGCTAAAGTAGAGAGAATGAGAACTTGCTTAGGTGGGCAGATGGTGGGACAAAACTATGGTCAACCAATGGGATTACAAGCACCATTGCTCAGGTAAAACTGATTAAATCCAGTATCAAATGGGAAAGCGAGTCACATAGCAAGCAGGCATGAATATGGGACAGGGTCTTTTCCTGTTGGGGGTTGGAATCCGGGACATGGTCTCTTTCTGTTGGGGGTTGGGCTAGTGACTCACTTGGGTCTTTCCAGGTGATTGATACCTATTTAGAATATCAATCCCAGGTGCTACTCTTTTAGCATTTGTTTGGCCTTTAGGTCTTCAGGTCTGGTTCACAGCAGGAGCATCCACCCCTCCCACAGTTGTAAGGCATCTCATCTTCTGTGCTGTCTCCTTCGAGGGCCTGGCCCTGTCTGACTGCCTAAAATATTTTTATCTAACTTGACTGCCTGCAATATTCCCCCCTCTGGAGAAGTAACCTGAATTGCTGTGAAGGGAAATATGGGCAAACACCGCTCTGGCTTCTTCATGCTGAAATGGGTTGTAGTTGTTGACTGGCAGTTAGATACATTCTTCAGAGGTTTTAGCGAAAGGCCCTTGATAGATGACAGGCATTTTTCTCTTGGGTAGACGTATAGCTTTGAGTCTACGGATGCCTCGCATTCATCCTTCTCTATGGCGAAGGGGCACTCCATTGTGTAGATACATCTTATTTTCTGAAGTCAGCCATGATGGACATGCAGACTGCTTCCAAGATTTAGCTACTATGAATTGTGCTGCTATAATCACCGGGTGTGTGTACCGCTGTAGTGCCATTAGTTTAGCTCTTCAGGAAGATTCCTCTAAATTGGTCACGCAAGGTCCAGTGGATTGCCTGCATGTGATTCTAGTAAGTGGTCATTGTGTTGAGAAGGTCGTGTGTTCTGGCCCCGTTGAGCACCAATTGTAGGAGACACTTCCAGATCCTCATCTCGGTCCAAGAAGCCAATATTTGTACTCCCAAATTTACATTATTGGAATCCCATCAAGTTGATTCCAATCTACCATTTTCAATGCAACCCACGGTGAAAATAAAGACACTAAGTTATATTTTCCATCATTGGGAGTTGAGGGGCTCTAAGTCCAGCCATGAAGATGGCTTTCCAGAACAAAAAGAGCTCTTTTCTTTTTTTTGGTGGTACCGGGGGTTGAACTCAGGACAAGCACTTATTCTACTGAGCTAGCTCCCTGGCTCCCATACATAGGCTAAGATCAGAGATTTGCATGTTATTTCTCTTAGCTTTGATGTGATAATTACCTTCATATAAATTATGCAATGTGATATTTTTAAAAGCAAAGACACAAGTAAAAAAGGTGACATTTTACACATACACACGAAATCATTGCTACAATGAGGCAGCACTCTTAGGTCATACCCCTAAGCAATCTGATCTGTCAGTGTATGTTAAGGTTTATATCTAGATGCCCTTCCAAAGCCAACAGCACTCATGGGCGGGCCTTTTGGGAGTGAGGGTATTAGGGTGTGTGATACAGAGCAGTTCATTGATGGGCTGGCATAGCTCCAGGTGTGGATGATGGACTTACTGCAGAGGGTGGTATCAACCAATAGGCTCACACTGGATGAACTAGAAGGAAAAGGCAGGCATGCTCCCTGCTTTCCTACTACCCCGCCATGGACTGGTTCTCCTCTGCCATGTGCTACCCTGCCTTGGAGCCTTCTAACTGTGGACTGAAATCTTTACAAACTGTGAGGCAAAATAAACCTTTCCTACATCAGCTTGTGGGGGTCAGCTATTTTGTCCCAGTAATGAGAAAGTAACTAAGGCACTACTGAATATTTGCCTTTACTACATTTTTTTGAAATATGATCACATATTAATTTTTAAATCTAGCTCTAGTCAGAATTATTTTATGCTCCATGTCATTTATAGTATGACACAAGTGCCTATTGATGGGCACTCAGAAATTTTCAGTTTAGATTACAAATAAAATCAAAATGAACATTCGTACCTAGGGTGAAGTAGCTAGATTACATGGCCAGGTACCTTTTAAAAAACTGCCAGTATTTTCCAAAATGGTTGTAATACTTTACACTTCTATCAGTTCCAGCTTTTCTGTGTATTTCTTAACACTTGGTATTGTCAGGATTTTGAATTTTTCACCACTAAAGTAGCACATCGGTTCACAAACACAATCCTTTCACAAATTTTGGTCACAAACTGATGTGGATGAGCACCAAATCAAATTCAGTGACTAGATTCAATGCTGACCTTATGGGAAAATTTGATTGGGTTTTCATCCAGTTCTACTTACAACTAGATTACGGAGAGAATTGAGTTCATGAATCAAGTTAGTACTGTGTAATAAATGTAGTGTTTTACTGTGGCTTTAATTTGTATTTCCCTAATAATAAAATGTAGAGCTTGTCTTTGGGTCCTATTTGCTAATGTGCACAGGCTAGGCTTGAATTTGCAATCCTCCTGCTTCAGCCTCCCAACAAGTTGGGCTTGTAAGCATGTACAAGTGCACCCAGCTGTGTGTATCTTCAGTGTCCATTCAAATGTTTTATTTTTACAAAACATTCTAAAAGATTCTAATTTTGATAAGCTCCATGTTGTCATTTATGGTTCTGGCCTCTGGTGACACGTCTAAATAATCTTTGCTTAACCCAAGGTCACAGACTTTTCTCCTATGCTTGCAGAAGTCTTAGGTTCTTAGGTTTTACATTTATATCTATTATCCACTTTAGATTTTTTTTTAATATATAACACAAGGTTGGATTGTGTCCTTTTGTTTTCACAGATGGATACTTGACAGTTCCAACAACAGGGAAAAAAAAAGAACCTTTCTGTAATGAATTAAGACATACACTGCCCTGAAGTCAGTTTTGTCAAAAAACCAATGTCCATACATGTGTGTATCTTCATCTCAGCTCTCTAGTCTGTTCTATAGATAACTTTGGTGCCTGTTCTCTCCTTTCTTGACTACTGTAACTTTTAGTAAATTTTGAACCAGGTAGTTTCTTTATAGTTACTGCATTTTTTCTGACTATTCAAGATTATTTTCATGCATGTATGCATTTTTAGAATCAGACTAATAATAGCCTTGTGAGAGTTTGAGATCACATCAAATCTATGTGTCATTCTGGAGAGAATGCAGTCATTAATAATATTACTTTTTAGCTAATATTAGTTTTAGCTAAAAATAATATTGCTTTTTAGCTAACATGGCATATCTATTTACTTAGCCCTCCTTAATTTCTCCCATTGTTGTAAAGTTTTCAGAATACAGGTTACTTTCTTTTTAATCACATTTATCCCCAAGTATGTCATATGGTTTGATGCTGTTATAAATGATATTATTTAGTTTTTTACAATTTCATTTTCTGATTGTTCATGGTTAACATGTAGAGACTGGTTATCAACACAAGTGATTTTTAAATAATGATGTCATATTCTTTATCCCTGATAAACAATTGCTAAACTTAGCACTAGTAGTATTTTGTAGAGTCTGTTACTTTTTAAAGTCAATGATCTAGCATCTGTCAACATGGACAGTTTTTACTTCCTCCTTTCTAACTGTGCTATCTCTTGCCTAAGTGCACTAGACAGGCCCCTTAGTCTAACAGGTGTCACAATAATGATAAAAATATTACCAAAGACCTACTTGAATATACTAATTAAAATGATTAGGAAAGTATAATAACCCACTGAACATGGTGTGCCATTTTTAGTGATAGTAAAATAGACTCCAACTGAAAAAAAAACAGCAAAGTTAGCACTAATTTTTTACTGTACTTCTCCACTGACAGCCACATCTGGATGGCTGAGGAAGGTTACTGCAGAAATGGGGAAGATACCCTATAAATGAAGACACACAAGAGTCAATTTTAACGACTTTTTATGCAATTTAATAATTACATACATGATAATGTATAATGTCTCTCATTTCCTCCTATCCAAACTAATGAGAGTAACTGTCTGAAAGTGAATTTTTAAATGTATTTTAGTGCATTTATTAAATTTTTGCTAGACTAAAAGTATAGCTATTAAATAGTTTTGGTAACTTTGCTTGAGAAGGCAGATAAGCTTTAACAAGTGTTAATACAAATAGATTTCCTAAGATAGGTATAGTGGTGC